CATTCCTGAGGGAAGCATCTGTTGAGTTGCTAAAACCCTCGGAAGGGCCCAGCTGGGAGCGTGCCCAGGGAAGAGCTGTGCCTGCGTTCCCAGGCTGCCAGCCTGGTTGGGAGGACAGGGACCTCAAGTCACGGCTGCACTGGTGGGACGGGGTGGGCAGGGTCTGTCCGGACACCCACCACGCCGTGAGGTCACCCCTGGGCTGTGGCCTCCTCCATCCCCCACATACTCTGGGTGCTGCGTGGCACCCTGGGGACCCTTGCTGGGGCTGCCCCCCCATCCTGGTGAACCCCTCCAGTAGGTCCCTGCTCCCACAGGGGCCGTGGCTCCAGCCCTGGCTCGTGGCCGAGTGTCCCTGCGTGGCTGGATGGGGACCTTGGGGCTGCCCAGTGGGCATTGCCCGTCCTGCAGAGGCTGCCCCCGGGGCTGGCAGGGTGCTCCCCAGCTGGTGTGAGCAAGCAGCCCTGGGATGGCACAAGGGACGTGTGGCTCAGCCTCCTGCCTGCTCTGCCCCTCCCAAGGTAAGAGCCCAGTGAGCCACTTTCCTGCTGGCTGTCCCTTCTCCGCTCCTGGAGGCTTGGCGAGCAGGAGGGGACCGTGCCGTACCAGGGCTGCCGGGCTGGGCGAAGGTTCTTGGCTGACCTCCGGCCCCAGCCGGACTCTGTCCCCCAGCTACACCCTGGTGCCCCAGCCGGACTCCACGCACCGGCCGGACCCCGTGCCCCAGCCATGGAGTTGCCGAGTGCCTGCAGCCACCCATGCTGGTTCCTGCTCACGCTGCTCCTGGGGCTGCTCCTCTGGGCCAGGAGGAGACACGCCTGGGACCCCCGCAAGTGTCCCACCGATCTGACTGGCAAGACAGTGATTGTCACCGGAGCCAACAGCGGTGAGCGGGGACTGGTGGCAGGGGATCGCTGGGCTGCAGGGGTCGGTGTGGGGCTGGGGGGGCGTGCAGGACATGGGTGCAGGGCTGTGGGTCCTGCCTGGCCATGGGACGCAGCCACCCTCCTTTTGCAGCTGGAGCCAGGGGTGGTGGCAGCTCCCTGCTCCCCCGGGACGGACAAGGGGCTGGGGGCATGTGTGTGGGTGACGGCATGATGGGACAGTGCTGTGGGGTGGCTCACTGGGGACATGGGTCCCCCTTCTCCAGCCACTGGACCACACACAGCCTCTGCTTTGGTGGTGCAAGCGGCTGCAGGAGTGGCTGGTAGCTGGGCCCTTGGCATGCACGATGCGCTGCCGGTGCGCCATGCCCACAGCATGCTCACTCCGGGTGCCATCAGACAACCTCTGCCCCGTGCTGACTGATGGCCATTATGCCGCATGATTGGGAGCTGGTCGCCAGCGAGCCGCTCCGGCTGGCTGGCATCCTCTGCCCAGGAGCAGCTCGGCCTCGCTGGGCTCTGGGCACCCCTGTACCCACAGCCCCAGCCCAGCCTCAATGGCTGGACTCTGCCCTGGCTGGGTTAATGACTGACAGCTAAGGCTACCGCGCCGCTGGCTGTGTCCCAGCCGACCACCGCACTGCCGGCCACCATGGGCACCACACCGCACCGGAGCCAGAGCTGCGTGCCAGGGACGGGGTCGCTGCTCCCACCTGTGTCCCACTGCAAAGCACGGGGCGGGGGCTGGCACAGGCGGCGGCGGCGGGACCCGCAGGGCTGGGGGTGCAGTGGAGCCCATGTGTTGAGTTTGGGGTGTCCCCCGGCATGCAGGGCACTGGGGTGTCCCCCTGTATGCCCAGGGACAGGGTGCCCCATGTGTGCTGGGGTCCGTCCCCCTCCAGGTGCCTGTCATTTCCCGCTGCGCCAGAGCACCATTGTGGAGCCATGCCAGTACAGTGCTGCTGGGTGGGTTCGGTGGCTGTGGCAGCCATCCTGCTCACATGGTCCAGGGTGAGCCACCGATGGAGCTGCGGCAAGCTGCCACCTCCAGCTCCTTCCTACACCCCACAGTGGCTGTCCTGCCTTGTCCCTGTCCCCACACAGCCACACTGTGCTGCAGAGCCAGGAGCCCAGCCCTGCTGCCCCCCGCTCCCACCCCCTGCTCCGGTGCTGGGGCGCCCTGGGTTTGGTGCTGGGCTCCTGGCAGTGGCTGAGCTGCCTGGGATGAGGTCCCCCTCCATTGTCCTGCCCTGCCCCTGGGGCTGCCCAGACCCTGGGAACGGGGGCACAGACCCCCAGGGACCCCTTGCCGTGGGGACCCAGCAGGGATCAGCCAGCGCCCGCTCCGTGTGCTGCAGGGATCGGCAAGTGCGTGGCCCTGGACCTGGCCCGCAGGAATGCCCGCACTATCCTGGCATGCCGGAGCCGGGAGCGGGGCCAGGCAGCAGTGGAGGAGATCCGGGCGGCCACCGGCAACCCTGCGGTGCTGCTGCGGCTGCTGGACACTGGATCCCTGGCCTCCGTGCATGCCTTTGCCCAGGCTGTGCTGCGGGAGGAGAAGCGGCTGGATGTGCTGGTGAACAACGCTGGCCTCACCGGTATGCGCTGGAGTCAGGGTCAGGCGTCCGCTGCCCACATCTCGGCCCCAGCCGGGGTCCAGCTCCCCATCCCACTATGGCAGGCAATGCCAACCTGGCTCCTGGCCCCACGGTGCCCCCCTCTTCCAGGGCTGCCCTTCACCATTACGCCGGAGGGGCTGGAGCAGACCTTTGCCACCAACTACCTGGGACCGTTCCTGCTCACCAACCTGCTGCTGGGTGAGCTGCTGGGGGCTGCCGGGGCCAGGGGCTCTGGGGACCTCTCCCCGCTCACCCCTTGCTCTGCGCAGACCTCCTGAAGGCGTCAGCGCCCGCCCGTGTCGTCAACGTCTCGTCCTTCCGGCACAGCGCAGGCACCGCCAACGGCCGCTACCTCACCGGGCAGGAGTGGCCTGGCGGCTTCGATGCCGCCTACAACAGCACCAAGCTGATGAACATCCTCTTCACCACGGAGCTGGCGCGGCGCCTACAGGGCACAGGTTGGTGCTGGGCTGAGCCATGCCGGGCTGAGCCATACTGTCCCTTGCCATGCCATGCCGTGCTTAGCTGTTCTGTGCCATGCATGGCCATACCATGCCTTGCCATACCATGCCATGCCACATGGAGCTGTGCCGTGATGTACAATGCCCAGCTGTACCCTGCTGAGCCGTGCCATGCAGCCCCCAGGGAGGGCTGCACCCCAGTGCCATCTGCCCATCCCAACCACCCTGTGCTGCTGCGCCATGGCACGTGGGCCGCACGATGGGGCTGAGGGGTCTCGGCCCTGGTAGATACTCCCTGGGACCCCCCATGCTCCCCGTGGGTGGGAGACTCCTGGCCCCCAAGGTGGCCCCAGTGCAGGGGCACAGAAGAGCCCCGGCTCCAAGGCTGGGCTTGGGGCTACTGGTGCTGCTCCAGGTGGGATGGCAACGAGGGATTTGGACCCTGGAGGCAGGGACCAGGGCGCTCCCCATGCCAGGGTCCCTGTGGCCCCAGCCCTGCACCCCAGCACAGCGCTGACAGTGTGGCTTGGCAGGGGTGATCGCCAACACCCTGAGCCCTGGCGTGGTGAGCACCAGCATCATGCGCCACTTCAGCTGGGCCATCCGGGTGCTCTTCGCCCTCATCCGCCCCTTCATAAAGGTGAGTGGGGGCAGACGGCAGGGCCAGATCCTGCCCAGACCTCCCATCCCATGGCCCCAGCAGTGGTGGGGTGGGCGGGGGGCAGCTGGGCCCCCTCCTCAACCCCCTTTGCCCAGCAGTCAGCAGAGCAGGGGGCCATCAGCACCATTTACTGCGCCGTCTCGGAGGAGGTCTCGGGCATCACGGGCAAGTACTTCGACAGCAACTGCAGGCTGGTGCTGCCCTCCATGGCCGCCCGCAACACCGGCCTTGCTCGCAAGCTCTGGGAAGAGTCGGAGCAGCTGACAGGGCTCACTGATGGCCCCCAGCACTGAGCCAGCGGCAGCTCTGCATGGGGATGTGGCAGTGCCACCTGGTGCTGCCAGCTGCTGTGCTGGGGTCCCCGCATCTCCCCAGGACATGGGGTCAGATGCTGCCAGGGGGACAGTGCCATGCGGGTGGGGGGCAGCCACCACCAGGGAGCTGCCCCAGCCCCAGGGTGCCAGCACCCCGAAGCGCAGCAGAGGGGGGTCACCCCACCTAAGCCAGCCCCCTGGCCCTGCAGGCGCAGCCCCTAAAGCCCCTTCCTAAGAGGGAGAGGGGCCACAAGGCCCAGCCATGCCAGGACAGCCGCTGTGATGGCGCATAGACTGTGCCGACAGCTATGGTGTAAATGCTTTATTAAAAAGCCCTGTGCAGCCGGCATCAGCTACTCCCAGGCGATGTCCAGATCCAGCCGCTGTTTCCGCACTGCCTGCAGGAAGCCGTCGTAGTCCCGCCGGTGGATGTCCTGGCAGTGGGACAGGTCCAGGCGGCGCAGGTGGCCCTCAGAGGCCAGCAGCAGCCATACAGTCTGGCTGGACACCTGGCTCTTGGCCAGCGAGAGCTCCTGCAGCTCAAGCAGGGGCAGCCCTGGTGCCGCCAGCACCGTCTCAAACACCGAGTCCAGTGGGAAGGGGACGCCGAGCAGCCGGAGGGTCTGTAGGTGCGGGGCATGGCACAGCAGTGAGGCTAGCGTGGCACGCAGTGCCAGCCCATGCTGGGCCGAGAAGATGCCAGTGGTGCCAGCCAGGGCCAGGGAGAAGCTCTGGAGCTGGGGGAGGTGGTGGGGCAGCAGGTCAGTGTCCCAGTGGGGTGGCTCGGCCAGGGTCTCCCTGTTGGGGTCGGTGTCTGGCGGGGCATGCAGCTCAGCGCTGAAGGCCTGCAGGCCAGGGCAGCTGGCGAGGAGGGTGGCCAAGGAGAGCTCATCCTGGCAGCAGAAGCCGTGCAGGGCCAGGGTCTGCAGGCGGGGGCCCAGCCTCTGCACCAGCGGCAGCACCTCTGCCAGCACCCGGCCCTGCCGCCCAGCACAGCCCAGGGTCAGCCGGGCTAGGCGGCCCCAGCCCAGCAGCTCCCAGCCGCCTGCTGGGCCGTCCCCGAGCCACACGCTGACCTCTTCGGCCTGGGGACAGATGGCATGGATGGCAGCCAGGGCGGGCTCCTCCACCTCCTCCACCTGCCGCAGGGGCAGGGTGAGCCAGGGCCCCCCTGGGGCAGCCCCCCGCCGCCGCCCCAGCTCCTCCAGTGAGGGGAAGCCCTTGGTGTCCCCCATACCGTCCAGCTGCCAACTGTGGAGGAGGCGAAGGGCATCCGGCACAGCGCTGTGGGCCAGGAACTTCAGGCACGGCAGGGCCAGCAGCAGGAAGGCCAGTGCCGCAACCATGCCGCCATCTTCCATGGGCTCCAGGCCGCGGGCCAGCAGGATGCGGAGCACGGGGCAGCAGGGGGACTGTGCCAGCGGGTCATAGGCCAGGTGCTGCAGGGCGCGCGGGGACACCTTCTTGCAGTGGGACACGTCCAGCTCCTGCAGGCACCGGCAGCAGGAGCCAACGGCTGAGAGCACCTGGACATTGGCCTGCGTCTCCGCCAGCCCCAGGCGGTTCAGCTGTGGCAGCCCCTCCACCAGGTCCACCAGCATGTCCGCCGATAGTCGGCTGCAGCCATGCAGGTCCAGGGAGCTAAGGCTCTGCCGCAAGCACACGGAGCCCCCTCAGCAGGGTGAAGGGGACCCTGACACCCATCTGTCCCCCCTGCACCTACCCACGGAGGGTGGGCATCCCCTGCCCCCCTTACTGCAGCCCCACGGTTGGTGGGCACCCCCAGCCTGCTGACCTTGCAGCGCAGGGCGACGAGCTGGCCGATGGCATTGCTGGCGAGGCCAGAGCAAGGGCGCAGGCTCAGCTCCCGCAGGTGAGGCAGCAGGAGCAGGTGGAGTGCTGCCCGTGTCAGGCGCCGGCTCTCACCCAGCAGCCGGATCAGGTCCTGCACCAAACTGCTAGCTGTGGGGGTGGTTGCAGGTCAGCGAGAGTGCACAGGCACCGCTCACCCATCCTCCTCCTCAAGGAGGGGGTCTCCAGACCCCATGTCTCACCCAGGTCATTAAAGGGCCCCATGACGAAGCGGAACTGGTACTCATCCAGGTAGTTCTCGCTGTAGTCCTTCACCCAGACGCTCTGCATGTGCTGGACCAGGCTCTGCAGGCAAAGGCTGCCCAGCGCCGGCACCTCCTTCCTCCTGGGCATCTGGCTGCTGCGGGAGAAAGAGACGGTTGAGCACGGTGGGCTCCGGCCAAGCCAGATTCAGAGCTAACCACGGGCCCTGAGCTGCTTGAGCCACAGCAGGCACCTCGACTTCTTAAGGCCCGAGTTTATTTTGGGGGAGCTTTAAACCCGTTTCTGAAAAAAAAAAACCCCACAAAACCAAACAAAAACGGGCAGAGAAAAGCCTGCCTGGGTGTGTGCGCGGCCTACACCCAGGCCCAGGGGGTCTGCTCGGGTTTTGGGGGAAAAAAACGTAGCACCGCGGGCCAAACGTGCCCCCCCCATTCCTCCCTGTCTCGGCACGGGCCCCGCCGAGACAGGGAGGAATGGGAGAGGGGGGTGGTGATCCCTGGAGCTACTTACCAGCGGTTCCACGTCCCGTTCCGCTTCCTTGCCCAGCCCTAACCCCGCCGCACCCCATTCTGCCGGGCCCCAGGGCCCGCCCCGCCGCCTTTTATATCCCTTCGCCCCCGCCATAGCGCGGCCTGCCCAGTTCGGCTTCGCTACCTTGACTGCGCATGCGCGTTGTGGGGAGAGGTCCTCCCTATTCCCGCCCTTCTTGACGCCCCCTCCTCCCCTCGAGGGTTGCCCTGTGTCGTGCCTGACGTGAAGCTCGGCCGGCGGTGCGGTGGGGGGGCGGTGAGGCGGACAGGCGGGCCTCGTGGGGGCCTCGCGGGGGCCTCGCGG